AAGCAACAATAACAAATATCATGAAATAGCCTGATTATCTTACCATATAAAAAGATCAAAATGGGAATTGATAGAATTAGTAACATTATAACAACAACTGCAGATACCCATTCGTGCTGTCTTTCTTTGATGATTTCTGAAACAGAAATGTAAGATATAAGGCTAGGTTCACACTTGAGCATTTACATTTGATGCATTTTTCATGTATTTTATGAATGCATTTGGAAAAGGATTGTATATAAATCAGATAAGGGATGGCTAGATTGGTTCTGGGAGCTGACTGTTATATAGTACCAGAGTAGGTAGTGCACTGTATTTTTGCTCCAACAGGGGTTTATGGCAAAGAATAGAAACCAAGGGTTCATTAACCACTTGAGCTCCAGGAGATTTTATCCCCTTCATGACCACATGACCAAGCCATTTTTTGCTATTCGGGACTGTGCTACTTTAACTGGTAATTGCACAGTCATGTAACACTGTACTCAAACAAAATTTATATTACTTTTTTCCCACAAATAGAGTTTTCTTTTGGTAGTATTTGATCACCACAGGTTTATTGTTTATTATATAAATGAAAAATGACAGTAAATTAAATTTAAAAAAAAATGTTTTAATTTCTGCTATAAAACATATCTAGCAAAATGTTTTTTAAAAATCTAATTTCTTCATATATTTAGGCCCAAATGTATTCTGTTACACACACATATATATATATATATATATATATATACAGTTGCAAGAAAAAGTATGTGAACCCCTTGGGATTACGTGGAGTTTTGCATGAATTGGGCATAAAATGTGCTCTGAACGTCATCAAAGTCACAACAATAGAAGAACACAGTCTGCTGAACATAATACTACACAAACATTAGATGTTGCCATGGTTTAATTGCACATAACATGTAAACATTCACAGTGCAGGGAGGAAAAAGTATGTGAACCTTTGGACTTAATAACTGGTTGACCCTCCTTTGGCAGCAATAACCTCAACCAAACATTTCCTGTAGTTGCAGATCAGACCTGCACAACGATCTGGAGTAATTTTGGACCACTCCTCTTCACAAAACTGTTTCAGTGTAGTAATATTCTTGGGATGTCTGGTATGAACCGCTCTCTTAAGGTCATGCCACAGCATTTCAATCGAGTTGAGGTCAGGACTCTGACTGGGCCACTCCAGAAGGCATATTCTGTGCTGTTGCCGCCATTGTTTTGTTGAATTACTTGTATGCTTTGGGTCATTGTCCTGTTGCATCACCCATCCTCTGCGGAGCTTCAGTTGGCGGACAGATGGTCGTACGTTTTCCTGCAAAATGTCTTGATAAACTCTGGAATTCATTTTCCCATCAATGACAACAATCCGTCCAGGCCCTGAGGCAACAAAGCAGCCCCAAACCATGATGCTCCCTCCGCCATGTTTTACAGTGGGGATGAGGTTTTGATGTTGGTGTGCTGTGCCTTTTTTTCTCCACACATAGTGTTGTGTGTTCTTCCCAAACAACTCAATCTTGGTTTCATCTGTCCACAGTATATTTTGCCAGTAGTGCTGTGGAACATCCAGGTGCTCTTTTGCAAACTTCAAACGTGCTGCAATATTCTTTTTGGACAGCAATGGCTTCCTCCGTGGTGTCCTCCCATGTACTCTATTCTTGTTTAATGTTTTCCTTATTGTAGATGTGTCAACAAAAATGTTAGCATGTGCCAGAGATTTCTGTAGGTCTTTAGCTGACACTCTGGGATTCTTCTTTACCTCATGCAGCATTCTGCGCTGTGTTCTTGCAGTCATGTTTACAGGACGACCACGCCCAGGGAGAGTAGCAACAGTGCTAAACTTTCTCCATTTGTAGACAGTCTGTCTTACTGTGGACACATGAACCTCAAGGCTTTTTTCTTTCAACTGAGATACTTTTGTAACCCTTTCCAGCTTCATGCAAGTCAACAATTCTTGATCGTAGGTCTTCTGAGAGCTCTTTTCTGCGAGGCATGGTTCACATCAGACAATGCTTCTTGAAACCAGTAAACCCAAAACAGGTGTGTGTTTTTTTAAGGGCAGGACAGCTGTCAGCAACACATCCAATATCATCACACTGATTGGAGTCAAGGCTGGCTCACTCCTGGCTCCAATTAGCTCTGGGAGAAGTCATTAAGCTAGGGCCTCACATACTTTTTCCTCCCTGCACTGTGAATGTTTACATGTTATGTGCAATTAAACCATGGCAACATCTAATGTTTGTGTAGTATTATGTTCAGCAGACTGTGTTCTTCTATTGTTGTGACTTAGATGACGTTCAGAGCACATTTTATGCCCAATTCATGCAAAACTCCACGTAATCCCAAGGGGTTCACATACTTTTTCTTGCAACTGTATATATATATATATATATATATATATGTGTGTAACAGAATACATTTGGGCCTAAATATATGAAGAAATTAGATTTTTAAAAAAACATTTTGCTAGATATGTTTTATAGCAGAAATTAAAACATTTTTTTTAAATTTAATTTACAGTCATTTTTCATTTATATAATAAACAATAAACCTGTGGTGATCAAAATTCTTTATGTAGCAAAAGAAAACTAGTGGAGTCTATATTTCTTGCTGCCAGGCAAATGTTGGCTAAAGCTTGGAAACAAACAACCCTCAACTTTGAGGTGAAACAGAGGGTGATGGGTACCATGGTCCATAAGAAACTCACTGCACTACTTAAAGTGTTACTAAACCCAGGACCCTGCATTCACTATATCTGGTCTCCCACAGTACACAGAACATGGAAATGCAATTATTTTTGTAAATATAACCTGCTAAACACCTTTTCTCATCAGCAATTAGAGCAGTCTTGTGTCTTCTGTCAGTGTTCAGCAGAGCACTGGTTAAAGCTTTTAGGAGGAGTTTTCTTTCTGCTCTAGGAGGATGCAAAACCCCTGACCTCTGTCTGGACAGTGCTGATTGGCCCTGTGCTGATCACATGCACCCTCCCAAGAAAAAAAAAAAAAACCCTCTCTAGCAATACACACTAAGAAGTGCATGTGACTATGGGTTTAGTTTGTCTTATCAGGAGATAAGATGTGGACATTTGAACAAGTGGAGGGGCAGAGAAAACAGGATCAAACTGCCTTTTTACACAATGCAGAGGATTAACCCCTTAGGTTCCACAGTGAGTATAACAAGCATGCTTTACTGCATAAACAGACTGATTTTACTGTTGTGGGTTTAGTAACACTTTAATAATACCCTACATTTCATGAAATATGGATCAATAGATAGAGTATAACAGCCATATGATCTTAGACCCAGAATAATAGGGTGACCATACTCTTGACTGGACCAAATGGATCTCCCAGTCCTTTTTTCCCTGTGCTATGCCCTGTGAATTCCCCCCCCCCCCCACCTTCTCCTTCCCTGTTTGTTCTCTTTTTGTTGGCTTTACTGCATAAACAGACTGATTTTACTGTTGTGGGTTTAGTAACACTTTAATGTTCCTTTCTGCATTGCTTCTGGAGATTTTTGTTAATTTTCTGTCCAGTAAAACCACTGTTATCAGAACAGTAATGGAGGGATAGCCATGGGGAGTAGTGAAACCTCAACAGGGGTTCCTTCCTCACTCCATTCAAAGTTAAAAAAACACTTTTGGCTAAACACAATTTGCCCTTGTTTTAGGCCAGTTTCACACTGCTGCCCTGTGGTTTACCAGATGGCAGGATTACCCACGGATTTGTTCAATTAACTCATGGGTTGCCATAGACCTTCTATTAGTTCATATGTTTTTGATGTATTTTCTGCAGGCACACCAAAATCTTGCACACTGCATCTTTGCCAAGCCACAGCGCAGCACTGTGAGACAGGTCTTAGTGCATTGAAATGTTCATAGCTCAGTATTTATGTGTAGCACCCTTGTAAGTAGCTAGGGGGAGCTAGATGACTATTTTTTTTTAGTTAGAGGCTGAGTGCAGTCTGGTGGAGTAGTCAGAGAGGGGTCAAATTTCAGTCAGGGCTGAGAGGCTCTGCAGCCCAGCTCTCTGGAACTCCCCCCTGATCTAGAGACTTGGAGTAGTGGGCAAGGGTGAGGAGTGACTGGTCTACACTCTCAAGGAATCCTGACCAATCCCCAAGCAGGAGGTTTGGCACGCTGTAAAAACAGACCTTAAGAGTGACCAAGCAGCCTGTTCAGCAGCAGGAGAATTTGGTGGAAGATAGATTAACCAAGATGGGGTGTGGAGCCTGGGAGGGGGTCCAGGAGAGGGGCCTACCTACAGTCAGAGGAACTGGAAGGGAGAATCTCTAAGCCTCACCGTCCCCTGAGAGAGGACAGCTTGGGAAGTAAGGGAAAGAGCAAGCCCAGCGTATGGCCTGAAGGCAGACACCAAACCACAAGCTTGCAGGAGAGTCACCCCCTGAGCTGGAAAAAAGGGAAAAAGTATTCAGGTGGGAAACTTGACTATCCCCCATCTTTGACTGCTTTCATTTAAGTTGGCAGCTTCTGGGACCTCTTGGTCAGGGATTTCCTCAGGCAGCTTGGTGAAAAGGAGATTTCATCTGGGGTCTGAAGAGGTACTCAAGGAGAAGCTGGCTAGCTCTCCAAGAAGGGAAGAGAAAACCCTTTCTGACTACTTGTACATAGTTCCAGGAAGTTGTTCTCAGTTTTACAGTTCCTTGGGCATCCCATGTACCCCTCATCCCCATCCAGATTATCATCCCCTAATAAAATAAAAAAAAAAAAAAATTAAATTCAAGGACTGTTTACTGTCTCTGGAGTGCAAGTCTGGAGGAAGTCTGGGGAACCCAAAACTCCTAAGGGGGTAGTGCCACAAATGTGTACTAATTGTTGGAACTTGCCTACAGTGAAGATTTAAGGCATGGTCTGGCATGGCATCGTCAAGGCTGTACAGATGCTTTCTGCTAATTAGTTTAACAAATCACTTCATTGATTCTGTGATCATAAAACATTCATAAGGTATGTCGCATACGTACACAATGAACACAAAAAAATAGAAAAGTGTACCTGGGAAGGTAAAGTTCTCTGAAGATGAATTTTGAAGTGCATCACTCCAAAATATGCAAGTGAACGTCCTGTTAGCTTCAGAAGAGATTCTGATCACACTAGTGATATTGAACAGTCCTTCAGCAGTTAATGTATAGCTAATATTGTTGGTTGCACTAATGTTCCCACTGCTGCTCAGCCACGTGACCTCAGCCTTTGGAAATCCCACAGACTGACAGGAGAGCTCCTTCATTGTCTGTCCTGAGGATGTGACCACATCTGTGACTTTTGTGTTTATTTGTTTGTATGGAGCTGTAGAAAGCATAAAAGAGTATTCAGTCCATTAGGAAAAAGTATGTAAGAAATTGAGATAGCAGGGCTACAGCACTGATAAAAGTAGGCATAAATGTAGACACAGTGAACAGGTGAAAAGTGGTGACCATTCTCATTCTCAGCTAACCCCTAGGACCTCGATGCAATTTGACAAGATATGCTCCTCTACATAACCCAAGGTCAGGGGCGGACTGACCATTCGAGCACTCGGGCACTGCCCGAGGGCCCAGGGTCAGTAGGGGGCCCCATGAGATGCCCCTGGTACCTTTCATTGGCTTTTTCATAGGCTTTTTTGGGTGTGGGCGAGGACACGGGGGCCATATGATCCCCTATTGCCCGGGGGCTCCATGAGTTGTCAATCCGCCCCTGCCCAAGGTACAACTAGTTACAGGATTTCATATTGTTTTCACCCACCGCAGGTATGTGCATGATACCTGTATAGTGATTGAAGGAAATAGTGACTTGTATCACAACATTTCTTAGCTGTAGTCTATTAACTTAAACAGGTATGTAAGAAGCCAAGACATCCTGGCAACCTTAGATGAGATGTTGCCTCTTTCTTAAGGTAAAATTACCCTACAATTGGAATGCTAAATGAAAAATACTTTTTTTTTATTATACTGCATACCAAAAATTATTGGAATAGACATTACCTTGTACTTCCAGACTGATTTCTTTAAAGTCTGATCCTTGAAATGCTATAATACACAGATATTGTCCTGCATCAGTCATCTTTACATTAATGATCCTCAAACTGGCATGGCCCTTCTTCAGCTCATCTGATAAGAGTTTCACCCGACCTCTATAGTCTTTGTCTTGTAGAATTTCAACATGTTTTCCATTGGAATATTTTGCAACTTCGGAACTGCTCCCTTTATGTATGCTGTGTTTCCATATAACAGTCATATCCTTGAAATTTGTAATGTATTTTACTGCAAAGAGACACTCCATGGTGATTTCACCTCCATATTCAGCCGTGTAACTGGATTTTATGGTTTGCACTGTAAGCAGGCCTGAAAAATAAAAACATATGTTGTGTCAGTATATATATATGATGTGATATAATGATTTCAGCCAGACTACTATTGGAAAACAATCAGTTGAACAGCTTATAACATTTTTTGATTGCTATTATTATTCTTCTGGCAATAATCAACACTAAAATCATCCAGCCGCTCAATTCACATACCAATTCATGCTTGACTGAGCTGAGTCTTTTTAATGCTGGGTACACACGGTCTGAATATCAGCCTGTTCAGCAGGAACTGGCCAACAGTTGGACTATGTGTACAGCTGTCCTTTTGACAGAAGCCGGTCTAAGGACTGGCTTTTGTTGAAGGGACATGCTGCAAAACCAGCATCTGATCAAGGCTCGCAGCCAATTGCTGTGAGCGCTGATCAGTGTGTTCTGGAGGGGGTTGGGGAATCCCACTGTCAAAATACACAAGGTACAGTGGGAGAGATCACTGTTAGTACAGCAATCTCTCAGTTTTTTTTTTTTCAGCCCAGTGGGTTGAATTAAAAAAACTGAATGTGTGTACCAGGCAATACCCTTTCCCAGCTTTATCCAATCCTTTACCCTAAGGGTGGTCAGATTGTATCTGCATATTTATTTTCCCTCTTATTTTTAAAGGAACGTGAAAGTACATGCATAAACTTTTATACAGTATAAGCTGGAAAAATGCTGTATGAGAACTAAACAAAGTTCTTAAACAGCAGTACTCAAAGTTGCAGACTAAAACAAAATAGAAGTAGTAAATTCCTTACCCCAAACTGGTGCACAATATCTGCTCAAAACAAGGACACTCAGAAGGTACCAGGGTATATCCATCTAGAGCCTAAAACATAAAATAACATACTACAGCACAAGATAACAAACACTAAAGAAAAATGGATTAAAAATCAATTTTAGCTTTTTTTTAAGGTGAATTTTTTTTAAAGAACATGTATATGCATGTTAATATGATTTACATACATTCCCATTAACCACTTGCCTACCAGGCACTTTCACCCCCTTCCTTACCAGGCCAATTTTCAGCTTTCAGCGCTGTCGCACTTTGAATGACGGTTGCACAGTCATGCAACAATGTACCCATATGAAATTGTTATCATTTCTTTCCTCACAAATAGAGCTTTCTTTTGGTGGTATGTACTCACCGCTGGGTGTTTTACTTTTTGCGCTATACACAAAAAAAAGCAAAAAACATTTGAAAAAAAAAAAAGTTTCTTTGTTTCTATTATAAAATTTTGCAAACAGGTAATTTTTCTACTTCACTGATGTGCGTTGATGAGCCTGCAATGATAGGCAGCATTGATGGGCACTGATAGGCGGCACTGATGGGCACTGATAGGTGGCACTGATAGGCAGCACTAATGAGGTGGCACGGATAGGTGGCACTGATAGGCGGCACTGATGATGGGTACTGATAGTCAGCACTGATAGTTAGCACTGATAGGCAGCACTGACTGGTGGCACTGCTGGGCACTGACTGGTGCAACTGCTAGGCACTGACTGGCGCAACTGCTGGGCTGTACTGGTGGGTAGCACTGGTGGGCACTGATGGGCACAGGTGAGTGGCACTGCTGGGCACAGGTAGGTGGCACCGGTGGGTGATTCTGCTGGGCACAGGTGGGTGGCACTGCTGGGCACAGGTGGGCGGAACTGGTGGGAGGCACTGCTGGGCACCGATCATCAGGGCACTGATCATCAGTGGCCTGATGATCAGTGCCGATCTCTGCTCTGACAGCTGCCGGTTATCGACAGTACTTTCCTCATGCTCTGACGGCGTGAGGAAAGTGCAGCCAAGAACCGGCAATTGCATTTCCCTGTGATCGTGTCATTGGATACGGCTGATAACGTGGTAAAAGGCCACTGTGATTGGCCTTTTACCACATCACGTGATCAGCTGTGTCTGTAGGACACAGCGATCATGGGGATCGCCAGGTGCGCCCCCCGGGGGGCGCAGGAGAGCGCGTTCTGGGAGGACGTCATATGACGCCCTCCCAGAACTGGCCAGCCGCAGTGCAGCCATCATTCGACTATCTGCGGTCGGCAACTAGTTAATATACCTCAGACAAAAAGTTGCTAAACTAAGGATGGCCATACATTATACAACTTGTTCAATTTTCCTTTACATTAACCAAAACCATATAATATGAGGTCAAACCTAAACACTTTCAATTTGTATACAATTATGCAGGCCCTTGCACTACAAAGTTGAAAGTAAATCGGATTGAAATTGAAAAAGAAAATTGTGTAATGCATGGCCAGCTTAGCTAGGAACTAGGGGTCGGCATCCAGCATAAGATATAAACTGGCCAAAGTCTTTAATTTATCAAAACACACAGGGGGGCATTTATCAAGCAAAGTAGCTACACAGTTAAACACAAATCAGATTACCTTTCATTTCACAAAGCCTATATGACAATTTGTCTGTGTATTTGTGACCCTTGTATCTGGAATCATGGGCAGCGAACCACAGCAGATTTGCATAGGTCTGAGACAGATTTATCACTGAAGATGAAACAGATTTTCACTCTAAACAAATGCATAATTAGAAAGTGGTCAGGGACAGGTTTCAATCTGTCCCCGTGTTAATTTAGAACAACTGAAGGATTAATTTATGAGGTTGATTTACTAAAGGCAAATAGGCTGTTGACTTTGTAAGGGAGTTTTTCTTTTAGCTTAGTTAATGTGGTGACATTTCACTTTGCACAGAAAACCCAATCATTTGCAAGAAAAATAAAAATATTATTTTTGCTTGTACATGATTGGATGATGGGAGTCATCAGTACTTCACCTTATTCACTAAGCTAAGAGAAAATTCCCTTGCAAAGTGAACAGCCTAAAATCAATCTGTTACATAATTTTTATTACTTCTCCTGTTTAGCATTGCCTTGCTGTGTGATAGAACTGATAAATGTCACCCATTTTGTTTTATATAAGCCTTATTATGTGTTGCCTCTATTCTTCACTCATACCTCTTTCATTGTCACATCTAGACTGGATAGGAAAGGGTAGTCTGTTTACTTAAAGCAGGATATACTGTTCTTTCACCCAATTTGTGAAATTAGATAATTAAAAAAATTTAAAAAAACAGCAAGCAAAAAAGGTTGTATAATGGTATGGGTTTATCATGACATATTTGTCAAAATGATTGGTCATTCTTGAGTTTGTTAACACCGGTTCAAAATTAAACTTCTGCTACATCATGAAGTGATCATGATGTGAAAAAATAATGCCATTAACAGAGAAAAAAATAACATGTTTATAATAAGATTAACGCATGTCTGGCAGCAGGCAGCAAATATCCCTTGGCTATGTAAAATTTAATATTCCTATATATGCCACTGCTGGATAGCCCCCTACCCTCCATTTTCTGTACCCTGTCTTTCTTGCAACATCCTAATAAAACTTCTTCCTGCTATGATACATAGGGGTAGATTTACTAATACTGGTGCACTCAGAATCTGGTGCAGCTGTACATGGTAGCCGATCAGCTTCTAACTTCAACCTGTTCAATTAAGCTTGGCAATAAAACCTGGAATCTGATTGGTTACTATGCAGAGCTGCACCAGATTTTGCACTCCTCAGTTTTAGTAAATAAACCCCTTACTGTATATTTCAGCTAATTCACTATTATTCACTTTGCTAGGTGAACAGCCTCTACTCAGCTAACTGATATTATACAGTATGTTTTGTTTCAAAACTATACAACACACTGAAGAATAGTTAAAATTCTTACCTGGTACGATTCAGTGCTATGCTATGCACCTTTTTTCACATATCTTTCAACTTATTCGACCTTAGTATACGAATCATCATATTAATCACGTACTAACACTAAAGTTTCAGCATACCTACAAAACTCCCACATAATCTATCTTACGTGAATAATAAGTAAAAATTTCCACAGACAAATCATAGAGTAGTAACAAGTTGGAATATGTATGACTCAATATTCTGGCTTTCCTAACTTATACATTTTCTTTAATATTTATACTGGTAATTTTTTTTTCATACTAAAACTGTGACATTTTGAAGATATTGATATTATAATCACCGCGCAAATCACACTCCAAAAAAATAACTTAAAGTGCCTTTCAACTAAATATGTGAATAACAAATACTTAGCAAATCAAATATAAATGGAATAAAGTGTGTATATTGCTGCTGCTTTAAATAGTGAATAAACCAATAATTACCTCAGAAACCTTTAATTTAACTAGTGAAAGCAGCAACAAATAAAATATACTAAAGTGGCATAAGTGGCTACATTATATAAATACATAAAAAAATCAATAAATTGCATCATTGAAAGTTCAATTCATCAAACACATAAAATGCTTCATTTAAGTCCACCAAAAGAAATGCTATATAAAGTATATAGTTAAATGAACTCCTTTTGATCCACTGAATAACCATTGGATCAAATAAGATTACTTCCATATGTGCCAAGAAAAAGCTTTACTTCAGTGTCACCACATGTACAGAGAAAAACTCTCCCAATTCAGTGGCACTCATCAGACGCCATCTAAACTTGATTGACAATTGCGCTTTTGGTGAGTGTCAAACGTAATAAGGCTCCTCAATCATTTAGCCCCTCGGCAAGGCTGATGGAGTTATTATTATTAGTATTATTACACAGCATTTATATAGCACCAACAGTTTGCTCAGCGCTGTACATTACAATGGGAAACAATACATGAGACAGTACAGTAACAATACAATAAAACACACGAGGGGTTCGAGGGCCCTGCTCCTTGGAGCTTACAATCTAGGAAGGAGGGGAGAGTGGTACAGGAGGAAATAGCTGTGGGGGATGGAGTGGTGGGGAGAG